CTTACATAACTTGAATGCATTGAGTGCAAGGGATGGTCCCTATATCCAAAAGTGCTACTCAAAGAATGAATGTATTGGGTCTAATCTGGTCACTACTCACTATACCTATCAGAATCAAGCAAAGTTGATTGAATTGTGTTCAAAGAAAAACAACTCTAAAAACATATTCCACCTCTAATCAATTGAACAATTTTGTGCTTATCATGAAGGACCAGTCTATGCTAATGGATGGCATACAAAATCAACTCAGGGATTGATTAACAAGATGAAGAAAAAGTTAGCCAAAGTTTCAAACAATTGTGAATCAAATCTCATATTAGAAGTTCATTTTAGAGTTTGCTATGCTTCTAAACCAAGGAATCTTCAGTACCATTTAGACTTACAAACCTGTTGCCAACATATTATATTAGTCTTATCAATTTGCATTGAGTGTAAGGTGTACAATTATGATTTCTTATTTAATTTTATCCTAAAACATGTCCTCAAATTTTATCCATTTCTAATTAAAATTGGAATGTCCTCAAAGATTCACCCTTCTAAATCAGATGACAATGCATTTTAATGATGTTTTAGGGGTGAGCCCAATAAACATAACCAAATGTTTCATATATGATTTCATCATGTATATCTATAAACGTATTGTAGTGTTGTATATGGTGCAGGTGGAGCAACCATATCATCTCCACCCAAATCTTGAAAAACATCACCAATAAAAAAAAATGTTCTTCATATTTTTAAAAATATATTAAAATTATTTCCATTTATAATAATTCTATATTTTGTGATTATTTTGAATATCAGTTTCATTCATTTATAGTAAATTATTACAGTATTTGTCATGTAATCTTTGTGATTTTTACATGCAAAAATAAGTTGTATCAACACACAGTCAAGTCTTCTTAAGAAAGTACTCCTGGAATCGCTGCATCATGCTCTTATCTGAATTGCTCCATTATTTGAAGTAATAGGATCACTGAAAGGGTTGTTAATGGTATTAAATTCTNGCTTTTATATATTATGATAAATTGCTCAGAATGGCTTCTTCACAATTTCATTTAAAAATTAAGTAATTTTAACTGAGATAGACAATGCTACTAACAGAACACATCATAAATCAATAAGTTTCCTTGGCTAGAATTTGCATAAGTAATGACTTCTACTAAATTTTGATTCTCATTAATGAGATGATTATTTAGTTTAATTGTATTTGTCTATTTCTATTTTTTCAAGAAGAAAGAAGATATTTGTTTAGTTAACACAATTAAATGATATCCAAAAGCAAATTGGATGTTTGATAGATTAATTATTTTTAAAATTCAATTAATTAATCATGTTTTAAATACTATATAAAATTAATTAATTGGCAATGAAAAAATTGATCTTTATAGTGTTGTTTTCAGAATTTTGTTATTTTATAAATTTTTAAGTAAAATATTTTATTACTTTGTGATTTTTACATGCAAAAATAAGTTGTATCAACACACAGTCAAGTCTTCTTAAGAAAGTACTCCTGGAATCGCTGCATCATGCTCTTATCTGAATTGCTCCATTATTTGAAGTAATAGGATCACTGAAAGGGTTGTTAATAGTATTAAATTCTCTTCACTTTTTCACGTCTTAGGAATTCTACATAACTTATAATACACTTGGAAATGTAAAATAATGAATTTTTAACAGTACTTACATATTGGTTTCCATTCTATTCAGTTTTATTGTTCTATTGAACAATCAGTAAATACAGTATATTTAGCATCGGTATCAAGAGCTTAGCTAAAGGAGTCCATTATACCTAGGCTCCATACATCTGTTTTTTGAACAAATGAAATATGTAAAATGTTTACAGCAGTCTTAAAGATTTTATTTTCTGTTAGTAAAAATAATATTAATTTTACAGGGAGATATGAACCATTATGGACCCTTTTCCTTCTGGACCTGAGAAAAAATCCCCAACTCCTTTCTTGACAGTCTGAGAAGTGCCATTGATGTATTTCTGAGAAGTGAAAGCAATGTGACTGGTAAATAACCAGTCACATTGCTTTCACTTCTCAGAAATATAGTAGGAGGCATAGCCAAAAAGATTGAATATATTTGCTCCATATATTCTGAATGCTCTCTAATGGGACAAATTACTATAGTACTGTATATTACTGTCTTAAAGCAAGGGCATGTCCTTCAAAATCTAATCGTTAATCACTATTTGGCTTGTCTCCTTGAGATGATAAAATATGTGATCTATGTTGTTTGCTCATATATATTTTATTATACCTTTTTAATACATAATTGCTTTTCATTTGTGTCCAATAAAATCTGTTCATTATGATTCTATAAGAAATCTTGACTGACTGTGTATTAGAAAACTGACCAATGAAAGGTTTCACCAAATCTCAACAAATACTATAATGCCACTGTGTGACCCATGTCACTATGTGCTCAAGTACCATAAGATTAAAAATGGATCCTTATAAATCTTCCTTAGAATAACCTTAAATTAAGTTAGATTAATTTATAGCAATAATAAATTTCAATTCTTTTAAACTCATTTCAAATTCTCAATATAAAAATTTGACACAGGCGTATGTTTATATCTAAAGCAGGATTTTAAAATTCACATCAGAAACATATTGTTGTATAAATTGAATGTAAATATCAATTAACATTGATATTCCTTTTAAACAAATTAATTTATGGTTGACAAAATTTCATTTAATATCTAAATGTACTTTTCCTTATTTGCGCACTTTGTTCCTCGTATTATGTTTTCTTATTAACCACAAAACTCATTAAACACGTTTAGTATAAATTTTAAAACACTTTTTTTAAAATCGTTTGAAGTCTGTTCTATTGGCCTTATTTTAGGCCCACGTCTATGATGCCAGGCACACAATCGGATCCGATATATCCGGGACAACCCCCGAAAAATTTATAGGGGTTTATGAATGCCCAGATTCGAACTTGGCATACCTAAAACGACAGGCTGGCACTTTTACCCCCCCTCCACTAGCCAGCCAATGATAAAATTGTTAATTAAATCCGTATCCGAGAAGATTAAGGCATCAGCNCCGCTCTCTTTCGTTTAACGACCTCTATCGTCAAGTCTTGGAAGCAAGCCAGTCCTGCTACATCTGTAACCACTTTCACTTTTTTTTTTTTTATAAAATATCAATTAACATTGATATTCCTTTTAAACAAATTAATTTATGATTGACAAAATTTCATTTAATATATAGACAATGCTTTTTATAAATTATGAATTAATTCTAAAAAAAAAAATGTAATTTAAAATAAAAAGTTAATTATTATAAAATGTCAACATCAACTCCTTACATATAAGTACAAAGTCATGTTCAATTAAATTTGTCATATTTCATCTGACAGATATAATTTTAATCAATTTATAATATACAAACACTAGAAATGACAAATAAAAATAAATGTTAAAAGTGAATATTTTTATTAATTTAGAAATTGTGAATTTTGGGATGGTATTTTTTTCATTAAAATAAACTTAGTAGACTGACTTAATTTTTGTGTCATACAATCTATTTTATATCAAATAGAAAAATATTAAACGACAGTATATTTAATGTATTTTATATGATAGTGCAAGACTATGTCAACTTTTTTGTTTTCATTTTATTACTAATTTTTGTCTATTCAAAATAATAAAATTACGAATTTGAAGAAATATGTTGTTATAGTCATTTTCATTGATTTCATAATTTAAATTCTGCTGAAATTGATTGATATATAATATTCTTAAGGCTAATTATCTATGCTTTTTTTTTTTTCTCTTCAACAAAAATTTTCTGATTTAAAAATTATATTTTAAATGGGAAAAAAACTTTAAAATTCTAACAGCAATATAACAAATTTTGTATATATGTAGGTACTGGTATAGATGCACAGTTTAGATACATAGATTTGGTTTTATATATTATGATAAATTGCTCAGAATGGCTTCTTCACAATTTAATTTAAAAATTAAGTAATTTTAACTGAGATAGACAATGCTACTAACAGAACACATCATAAATCAATAAGTTTCCTTGGCTAGAATTTGCATAAGTAATGACTTCTACTAAATTTTGATTCTCATTAATGAGATGATTATTTAGTTTAATTGTATTTGTCTATTTCTATTTTTTCAAGAAGAAAGAAGATATTTGTTTAGTTAACACAATTAAATGATATCCAAAAGCAAATTGGATGTTTGATAGATTAATTATTTTTAAAATTCAATTAATTAATCATGTTTTAAATACTATATAAAATTAATTAATTGGCAATGAAAAAATTGATCTTTATAGTGTTGTTTTCAGAATTTTGTTATTTTATAAATTTTTAAGTAAAATATTTTATTACTTTGTGATTTTTACATAAATGAGTAATGAAATTTCAATTACAATATATTAATAAATATTAATCATAATCACTCTTTCATAAGAAAAAATTAACTTTTATATTACTTACTTTAATTGATTATTATATTATTTACTTTAATCAATACATTAATTTTTAACATATAATAATAATAATGGCATATTTGACATAGTAAATTAGTGGTATATATTATAATTTACTGTGCTATTTTTAAATGAATATCTCTTCAAAATCATTAAAACATTTTACCAAAATCAATTGCTTCCATGTATAGATAAACATTTCATTAATATATAAATTCAGATATTTAAAATTTTGCTGAAATAAAGTATAATTTAATATTCTTAATAACTTTTGTTTGGGAGTTTATTTTTCAGCATCATATATCAAAATATAATGCAAACAGAAATGCTTTCTAAATTAATAATGATTTTTCTTGTCTTGTCTTCTAGAATTTAATAATGACCATGCAGTGTCAACAGAATAAAATATTTTGTAAGGAAAGAAAGGGAAATCAATATTAGTGGTTTCATTAAAATAGAGAATTTTAACATTAAACGTTTTAACTATTTAATTAAGTTTTGAACAGCTTTTTGACATAGCAATTTTGTAACTATCACACCTTAGGTAATAAATTCTTGCAGTTAACTCCAATTTCTTCTGTAGTATGACAATGAAAATACCATCCATTGATAGATCTCCTTTTATGACAATCGTACCTAACTGGTAGAGCACAGTAACAGACAGATATTAGCAAGTAACATACAAGTATAATTGTATTCCTATCAAAATGTGACATACCTGTCTTGGGATCAATATGAACAGGTGGAATGCCCATGTGTGCTGGAGGAGGTTGGGCAAATGCTTCACTATTATACATCACAAAGGGTAACGGCGAACCGGAATGTGTTGGTGGTATCATGTTCACCTTATTTGTCTATAAAAAAATTTTACAAATTAAATAAAAGTTTATTTAATGCATTTATCAAAATCAATGAAAAATGATTCTCAAATTAGTAAAATTTATTATATCTGTCTGTAATATATTGTTTTAAGAGAATACTCAGCAGTATACAAAAATAAAATAAATTTATTTTCTTCAAATTTTACTATTATATATACATAATAATCTTGTTTAATCAGCTGAGTATTTGTAATTTATTTGAAATTAACATTCATTAACTGAATAAACAACATTAATTTAATGATTAATATTAAAGTTAAAGCAGCAAAATAAGATTAAGTACATTAAGTTACGAAAAATTAATTTGTTGATCAATATTAGCATTAAAAAAAAGTAAAAGAAATTTATGTTAAATTATTCAAAAGATATCTAAATATATGTAATAAGTGAACAACATAGTAAATAAATTTACAGTATATTTAATTTTGTTTGTGAAATACACTATAAAATCAATTTATGATATTTTCATATAACAAGATTTTCCAAACTTCATGTTGATCATATTATAAATAAGTTATTGGTCATGTGAAATGTGTGACCGTCAAGACGTACATTTGATTAATCTTTCTTAATTTAATCAAAAAACATTTTTTAAATGTTTGAATTTCATTTTGAAAATGAAGAATTCGCTTATTAATTTTTGAAAGTTTTATTACATAGATGACATTTAATGTTCGACCTTCTTTGAACTTCATATTTTCCATTTTTAGAGAAGACACAATTACAAATTAATAGTCATAAAATGTACTCCAAGAATGAACATTATGATAATGTATGAATTACATTATATGCAAAACTATCTGAAATGGATGACAACAAATGTTAAATGCATAATATTGTGAATTTCTGTAGGTCTGACAATGAGTGAGTTAATTCTTTTGCTTTCTATCTTTGTATTGAATACATAGATTAAAATTCAAAGTGCATGCAAGTACTGTTACTAATGAAAACATCCCATCCAAGAACTCCATGATAATAGCCTCTAGCTCCATCAGTAAATTAACAAGATGGATGAGTCACGAGTGTAATCAGATACAGATGGAAGATCTTTACTCTTGAATGGAAGAGTCCATCTGGTTTCAGAGAATAAACTCATTTTTGTACCAACCACTACATACATCCCATCAGAGGGGGGTAGAATGCAGCTGAAGCAAAAATGTTATTTGCACACTACATCAACAGCAAAGTTCGCTGATTGAGAAGCAGCAGACAACTCACTTTGATCTCACCGCCTCTTCGTAATACGCAAGCGCAATATCCCGTGATTCTGACAAATATCCCCGCTGTCAATTCCCACCCTCTTAAGAGTGACATTTCAAATTAGATGGTTCATCATGCAATGATAATTAGAGCTTGCTTTTCCACAAGACTCCCGGGTCTCACCTGGATTAGGACAAAGAAGAGAAAGCCGAATATACCAAATGGCATTACGTGTGGTAAAGCTGCTTCTAGTTGAAAAGTACTGATAAAATGAATCAGTAAGTGGGAGATTACAGCATCCAAAAAGCAACATTATAGTATGAACAACACCGAAAGTGCAGGTTGTATTTTTACCACAAAAGAACTGTGATTTGCTAAGAACAGATGTTAGCGCACAACCCTCACATCTATTCTATTTACTACTGTTTTTCTCCCTCGTGCATTCGCCATGAAAAATACGAAAATTGGTTCTGGTCCAATGCAAGTGTGCACTTCATTACCCACTTTCAATAGAAGAGGTAGTTCTGCTTGCTTTTGTCTGCATCTCAGAATTGATGGGGAAAGAGTGCACAATTCTTTTTTTCTAAAGCCCAGTGACAGGACATTACATACTCACTACACTACTCTAAGTGATGGTAAATGATAGAAACTCTTACATGTAAAAGGCTAATTGTAGGTAAAAGCCAGGTAAATGGCAATTCTTACACAACCATAAAATTCAAAACTGGAGAGGTGAAAGTATTTTCACAAAGCAATACACTTTTGTAGCATTTACAAAATTCCTTTTTTTTTATTGATTCTATTCTTTTATATGAGCATTTGCAATACTATTCTTCATTCTTATATAGATAATAATTTATATTACTTTTATATCTTTGCCTTCATATAAAAATCTTTTGAATAGTGGAAGTATGATTCTTTATATTATCTATGTCAGTTTAATAAATTTACATTATGAATAAATTATGTCAAATTATGAAAGAAAAATTCTAATTTAAATTTATTTATTTTAATAAGAGATTAGTATAAGGTCCTACAATTATGATTTTAATAAGAAATAAAATTATATATATTTTTTTATTAATATTTGTTGCTACTAACATACTGATATTTCATATAAACTAAAATAAAATTTCAAACTAACTAAATTGCTATTTATATTTAGAAAAATTCAAATTTATAATAATACAATTTCTGTGGTAACATGAAAATACCAAAATTTGAAATGTATAATAATTAACCCTGTCATATCTAATAGTATCATTCCAAAATATGCTACCAATAAATAATAAAAATTATTTTTTAAAAAAAGAAGAAGAAGGATGAAAGATTTTACAAATTCAATTTAATGCTATTCATACAAACAAGATAGATGAGACAATCAGATAAGAGAATGGTTATTAAAGAGCAGAAAGAATAAAAGTAGCTATGTGCATGAACACACAATAGACATTTACAACAAGCCTGACAAGTTCCTTCTTTAATTGTATAGGATTTTAAATAATAATCAAAATAATGAGAAGTGCCTGAATAGATTATAATGAAAGGATCTAACATCTCAGTTCTCATGTTTTCCTATGGTTCCTTTCAGTTGCAATATGTAAGATATTTATATTTTTTACAAGTTACTTACTAATTTATTATAAATGCACAATTTATGTTAATTTATAAAGATAAGCCTATCTAAATCCATTTTGTTTGTTTTTGAGCAAAATTGAATGTTGTTATCAAACAAAGTATAAATCTATAATAGATATTGACTTATGTATTCACAGATGCTGCATTAATAATAAATATATATGGAGAAATAATGGGAGAGTTGTGTAAAAAAGTGATCTTGTTTTCAATAGCAGCTTGTGAAGAGGAAAGAAGGGAAGATGCTTTTTACAGTATACTGCAATAAATCTACTTGTTGCTATGGATTAATAGCATCTTTCAAACGATAAAAAAGTCTTTCACTGCCACATTTTCGAACTGGAGAAGTCACGAACTGAAGTGGTTCTTAAACGGGAGTCTCTCTACGTAGGTTAAATGTGTCATAAATTCTCTTTAAAGCAACGCTATTCATAACTCGACAGCTATTAGTTAACTACTTAATTCGAAATGGAAGTTTTGTTTTCTCTAAAACGCTAAAGAATGTACAGGTATTGTAAGGATTAGCAATAAATTTACATTCCAAGAGAATTTAGGCACTTTTCAGAAAGTTCCATCTCTTACGAAATTTATTATAAACATGAGATAACATTAGCAGTAAAAATTTACATAGTCGTGGAGGTACACAAAAATATGGAAAAAAAACAAAACGACAAAGTAATGACACTGCAAACTCCAATTATCGGTGTCGCCGAAAAATGGTGTTTCTATAGGGAAACTACCGTGATGCCGGACAACCTACAATTTAGACAGGAAGAGTCTTGACAGACAGAAACAATTAGCCACACACAGTGTACTACATTTTACAACATGACATGTCCGAGTCAGACACGCCAAACCTCTCCGCCTCACGCAAACAAAGAATCTACCACAATCGACTCACTGTTCGAAGAAACATTATTCGTTTTATTAACTGGGTTGTTTTGCTTTGAACGACTTTTTCCCTCCACACAACCATAAAATGCGTAACATCTCACTGGTTTCGATAGTTTATCGACTGGAGAATTTAGCCGTTAACGGTATAAATCTTTATATTTCCTTTAAGAGATGAATAAAAATATATAATAAGCCTAGGTTTAAAAATACTTCCGTCGTACGTATTACAGTTGCTCTAAATGATATCGATAGTTCTTTCATGTTTAACGAAACGTTTATCTGTCATTTCAGCCACGTTTCAGGATCATCTGGTAAGTTCAAATTCGATCACAATAGTACGACTGTTACTTTTTCCTCTCTCTCCTACAGTTACATTTTCAAATATTTACCCTCTAGGTATTACGTGACAGGAAGAAAGAGAGAATGAGTTAAGTTGCATTGCTGCATAAGTCATGGATGAAATCTTTCTCGGCTTCAAGCACATCATATGATTAAATACCTTGTCACAAATATTACTACTTACGTATTCTTATCAAATCACTAAGCTATAATTTTAATATCCATTTATATTTAAATATAATGATAAATTAGAAGATAGTTAACGCGGTCGTGGCTTTATACTCTGTTAAAGTCTAAAATGGCCATTCGTGCGGAGTACAATTGCTGCCGGTGTGAAATTTTTGATGTAGTTGGCTATTAAGATTTTCCAGTGATATGTTTTGCTTCTATAAATCCTTGCTGCGTTATTAATGTAAAAAAGGATAAGATTTCTTTTATATTATACAGCAGTAGCATCTTCCCAATTCCAGGAAGACAGTCGGATGCATGTGTTCCGACATTTCGACGAATCGAAGCAATCGCATCCATCGAGAGACCTAAGGGGCCCGGAAAGGACTTTTCGTGAGAACGTATGAATTCTAACAGACTAGACATTACAAAGAGGGTCTTTGACATACAGTAATAGCGTCTCTGCTACTATTTGGTTGCAAGCATCACGCACGGCGACTAGTTCGCTCGCTTCATCGGATTCCACCAATCCTCCTCCATCTTTTTTGTTCGTATGTCATTAAAGAACAACTCCTCCTACTAGAACTAGAAATATCTAAGCAAAGCATCAGTGCCGAAAACAAGAAACACAGCAATATCAATAACGGAAATATCAAATGTAATTATGGTAGCAGAGAAAAACCCTTCCAGAGAAAAACAGGATGTTGTTGCTTTCCACTGCTGTTTAGTGTCTTCTT